CCGGATTCCCAAAATTCTTTCACTGATAGACAGCTACAATGTTCCTGAGTGCTATAGGCTATAAAACATCACGCTATTATCAAATGGAGCCGAGCACCGCGCACCGGATGAAACCGCGCGAGTTTAGCTAGTCATTTACAAATTTCTTAGTTACTGATCCTGAACTAGGATTGATAGCTAGCCCAGAAATCCGGTGAGGCGAGAGTGAGTGTCATACTCTTACTGACTAAAAACCCCCCATTCCTTCTCCTACTTTAGGCCGAGGCCGCGGTACCTTGTTCCCCTTTCCCGCAACCCTGGCTGAAGGAATGAATCCCTAAGAATGACATAGTTAAATGGATCAGAAAATACTCTGAGACATTTCGAATACGGTCCAAAACATACAATTTGAAGTCAAGAAAGTGTGGGAGAGCCATGCTTCGGCACGAATGGGTCGGCTCGACCGGAGTGATACCACGGCCTCACAGAAAACCGGCGTGAAATAACCACTGCGTTGTGTTTCGCCGTGTGAGTGAGGTTACTGAAGGCCGAATCCTTCCTATTCCCCAATCCCTCCTCAATCTCTAAATCTCCAAATCCCTTATCCCTAAAAGGTCGGCAACGCACTCGTAACTCCTCTGTTGCGAGCGTCCATGGGCGGCGCTGATTGCTTACCATTAGGTAATCCGTCTGCTCGTTTGCCGACCTATTAGGAAAAAAAAATATGGAACTGGAAAGCCGTTTAAAGGCCGGATAGAGGCAGTAGAAGCGCTTGAGGGAACCAGCTTCCTCACAACACAGGACGCTAAGGACGTTGAGGATGATAATAATAATAAATACACTTTATTGTACACCAAAAGAGTTGACATGCATAGTACAAAATGAGTGAATCCAAAGTACTGGGTACAAAGGCGGCCTTATCGCTAAAAGCGATCTCTACCAGGCAACCTTTAGGTGGACGGAGTATTGTAGTAGTGGGTGGCAGTCTAGGTGTAACAATAGAATTAAAAACATTAACAAGCTATATACAATATTCATACATACATACATACGCATACACATACATACATACATATATACATACACATACACATACATACATACATACATACATCAAAGATATATGATCTTCAACTAGTGGACGCCGAGCAAAGATCCCTCGCCGCCCAGAACCAGGCCCACACGTTTCGCGAGCGCCTCAAGGAGCCAAATGACTACCACATATGCATTTGACTCCACGATCGGTGTGGTAGTTGGACAATAGGCTGCAGTGCAACGTGTCTCGGGTTCAAAAGAACTCTTTGTGTGATCCACAAATTGTTGTTCTGGATCTGGGTGTTGTGTGTATGAGAAATTAAATGAGAAAATCCTAGTGCAGGGTAACGTTTTATTAAAAGACAAAAAACAATATACTGTAGGGAAGTCTGAGACCAATAAGTAAGTTGTAAGGTAGAGAAAAACGTTAGGGACCTGTAAAATACCAGCGCCAGAATTTGTTTTCTAAATGCTGAACTGGCGTCCATTTCGTCGCGGACTTGGGACATGCACCCATATCCTTCCATATACTTCTTACCGTATACTTTTACTCTTTGATTGTCACTTATTTTTTAATGCCGGCGTGGAAAAACCCACAGCTTTGTGTTTCGCCGTGTGAGTGAGGTTACCGGAGGCACAATCTTTCCCTTCCCCTGATCCCTTAATCTCCAAATCCCTAATCCATAAAAGGTCGGCAACACACTCGTCACTCCTCCGGTTCGGGTGTCCATGGGCGGCGCTGATTGCTTACTATCAGGTATTCAGGCTGCTTGTTTGCCGACCTATCACATAAAAAAAAGAAAAAAATATGTTTTAATTGGGCGATGTCATTCCGGCTAAATCCGTCACGTCCTCTTGTCATTTTTCCTTATATTTTACGTTAATAAACAAAAAACGAGTTACCTACGACCGTTTATTTATAAAACAACAAGTTTATCAAATTAAATATACGGCGTTTAGTGTGGGAGAGCCATGCTTCGGCATGAATGGGTCGGCTCAACCGGGATGATAACCACGGCCTCACAGAAAACCGGCGTGAAACAACCACAGCGTTGTGTTTGGCCGTGTGAGTGAGGTTACCGGAGGTCCAATGCCTCCGAATTGAACCTTTATCCCCAAATGGCCAGCTACGCACTGGTAGCGCCTTTGCGGTTGCAAGTAAAATGATGTACCTCATTTTTAACCCCCGACGCAAAAAGAGGGGTGTTATAAGTTTGACGTGTCTGTCTGTCTATCTGGCTGTCTGTGGCATCCTGGAGCCTAAACGGGTGAAGCGATTTCAATTTAGTTTTTTTTTGTATTAAAGGTGACTTACGTGCAAGTGTTCTTAGACATGTTTGACGAAAATCGGTTTAGCTGTTTAGAAGTTAAGGGGGTAAGTGGGGAAGGGTACCCGAAGGTCTGGAAATATACTCGAGTGGGGTCTCAAATGAAAGCGCACTGAAAGGGAATGTTGATGACTTAATCGAGAGGACATGATATAAAAAGTACACAATAAAAAAAAATTAGACCCCGACGAAATAGAAATATGTAGTTGATGTATGGATCGGTCCCCCAACACCACGTTTTCTTTTAATTATTACTTTTTATAGGATTTTTTGTCATTATGTATTTACAGGATTTTTTGTCGGTGGTTTTCTAAATTTTATTCTTTACTCAAATAAATAGGAATGTAGCCTTTCTTTTTTTGAATATAGTATTGGCTCATTTATCGATGGATTGCTTGCTTGCATTGCATATTGACTAACTTTTTGTTAATAATTTTCAGCTGTCGCATCATCAGCGAGAACTGTCACATCAGTATGCAAGTGCGTATATCAATATTTTTTATTCGATACAAATGACTAGACGGATTACCTGATGGCAAGCAATCGGCGACTAATAATGAGTTTGAAATCGCCAATACGCGTTAAGCAAGCGTGATGATTGATGCTCAAAGTTTTTTAATTTGTTTAGTATTATTTTTTTATCAGACGTTGTTGTCCCACTGCACCCAAACAAATAAACAAAAAGTATTTATTAGTGTATCTACCCTTCTTCCACTCCTCTCTGTACAAAGCTTTCTGCAGCCAATCCTTGTCGAAGTGTGGGAGAGCCAAGCTTCGGCACGAATGGGTCGGCTCAACCAGACTGAACCTCGACCACGACCTCACTGAACGAACGCCAGTTGAGAGGGGTTACCGGAGGCCCAAACGTTGCCCCTCCACAATCCAAAAATCTCTAAATCCCTTATCCCCAAAAGTTCGGCAACGAACTCGTAACTCCTCCGTTGTTGCGAATGTGGTGGCGCCGATTGCTTACCATCAGGTAATAAACAGGCTCGTATCTATCCCACAAAAAAACTAATCAATTTCGTACCACCAATAATTTTCACAGTTTGATATTATTCTTATTTCAGAAATACCGAGTTCCAGTGTAAAGATCAATCCTGTATACCTTCAGACGGGCGGTGTGATGGCAAATATGACTGTAAGGATAAGAGCGACGAAACTCACGGCCTCTGCAGGCAGATCAAGTTAGTTTTTTTTTATTTGATGTTCTCGATGTAACTTGAAACTGCACGTCGATTCTATAAAATTTGTTTGATTATGAATCGTGTTCGAGTGCGAAGTGAGCGACGACGTGACGGGGAAATTAAATTTTAGAATGCCACTTTTAACGTCATTTCATACTTTATCTATCAATATGTTGCTGTAAATTTAGTTCAACTCGCAAGTGTAGCGCTAGTGTACTACCACTCACAGCGGATTCAGATTCGAAGTTTAGAATGAAGTCTTACAGAATCACACTGCTGGTAAGAAATTTTATCAGTTGATTCACGCCAATATTTTTTATGAGCAGACGGATTACCTGATGGTCAGCAATCAGCGTCGATCATGGATCCTCGTAGTACTAAAGGAGGTGCGTTGCCGGACGCTTGTGGGTTCTATGTGAGGTAAATATAGGGGATTTGAGGATTGAGGATGGGGAGGAAGGATTGGGCCTCTGTTAACCTCACTCCGTGCCTCACTCTCATGGCGAAACACAACGCAGTGGTTGTTTCACGCCGGTTTTCTGTGAGGCCGATAGCCGATAGCCGATAGCCGACGATCACTTCGATCAAGCCGACCCATTCGTGCCGAAGCATGGCTCTCCCACACTTGGACGTGAGGTTACCGTAGCTCCAAAGCTTGCATCGTTAAGCGATTTGATTAGTGATCATTCGACGTGGAGAAGACCGGTCTTTCGGAGCCGAGGTCTTCTGTCTAATGGTTAATTAATGGATTTTGCGTATTATTTAGTTCAAATTTTGTTGTTGATTTTTTATCTAATGATGATTTTTTTTCTTGCAGATGTCGCTCAAATCTGTTCACTTGTATGTACGGCGCATGCGTAGACCGTGATGCAGCGTGCAATGGCGTCGACGACTGCGTAGACCGATCGGATGAACTGCTTCCTAGATGCAGAAATGAAACGAGAATTAAAAAGTAAGTTTGTTAAGTTTATTGTATATTTAATTATAATCTGTAGAATAGAATTTTGTGTGTGTGGCAAACCGACAGATTACCTGATGGTAAGCAATCGGAGCTAGCGTAGCGAGAAGAACAGGGCAGCCGTCTCCTCTTTCTGCGAAGCAGTGATGCTCGCAAAGGAGGAGGCGGAGCGAGTAAGGGAACTATCCTCCTCACGCCTTAGCCGCCGCAGTAGACGATACTCCGGGCGATAGGGATCGACAGATGATCACCGGCCACCATAAGCATAGGTCTGTGGACTTGGCCTGGAAAAAAATTATTAGTTTAATCTCTAGACCTGATGATTTCCAATTTAATTTGTAAAAGCGCGTAAGCGTGGATCCGCTGCTGGCGACTAGAACCAGACCCAAGCGTACTGTGGGTTGCATTAAATGATTTTCCCCTCACAAAAAAAGTTAGACCCGGCTATATCGGCATACACTGATCTTAACAAAATCATCTAAGTAAAAATCAATGTTAATAATTCTCTTTCAGAAATCAATTTAGTTGTTTCGACGGTACCAGAATTCCCTCGTCAGACCTTTGTGACGGGGTTATGAACTGCCCGGATGGTTCAGACGAGACGCTGCATTCCTGCGCTGGCAAGAAGTGCAGGGGAAACTTATTCCAATGCTTGTATGGCGCTTGTGTTGACCAGGATGCTGATTGTAACGGGGTGAGTAGAGTCTCCAACTCTTTAACGAGAAAACGGATAACCTGATGGTAAGCAATCATATGTCATAAGTGTGGGACAGCCAGGCTTCGGCATGAAAGGGCCGGCTCGACCTGAGTGATACCACGTCCTCAGAGAAGACCCGTCGCCGCGTGACATGACGTGACATGACGTTATTTATTTATTTTTTATTTTTTGGTGTCGTGTTGGAAGATCCTCATGGAGACCTATAGCCCTCGGGGAAGGGCGAAGGGTACTGTCAGACTCTTACTGACTAAAAACCAACCCGGTGTTCTTCCAATTACCCATCGGAGGGGCGGGTATTGCCGAAGCATTCGTCGCATCCCCCCGACGGGTATTGGCCCGCCAGATGGTTAGGCGGGCCCCGTCATCCACTGCGACTCCCGACCGCAGGACTCCACTTTGTGGCGCGCGCGGAACACAGCACCGCCGTCTCGAGGCCTGCTGCTGGTCGGACGACTAGACGCCCCGAGTCTGTCGTCCGCAGGCCGCGATGACGTGACATAACGTGACGTGACATAACATAACATGAAGTGACATGGTATCGTGATTGATTTTATTTAATTACTAAAGGAGACAAAACAAATTATTGTTCCGCGTCTACTGGGAAATGTTACAAGTTATTTTATGAAGAAAATACTCCATCATCTTCCTGCCCTTGTCCCGTTTTATTTGGGGTCGGCGCAATATGTTTTTTTCTTCCGTTCTGTCCTGTCACTCGTCACGCTATCGCTAACTCCTCTGTCTTCCATATCACTTACCACACAATCCATCCATATTTTCTTTGGTCTCCCTCTCCCTCTTTATCCATCCACATTTATACTCATGGCTTTTTTGTAACATGCTTTTCATCCCTCCTTTTTACATGGCCATACCAAGAGAAACGGTTCCCTTTCAACTTTTCAGTCACTGGCACCACTTTCAAACTTCCTTCTCACTTTATCCATTCTCGTCACACCACATATCCATCTCAGCATTCTCATCTCTGCTACATGCAATCGCTTTTCATCCGTCTTTTTCAGAGCCCAACATTCTGACCCATACAGTAGGACAGGCCTTATCACTGACTTGTAGATTTTACCCTTCAACCTGAGGAGCATCCGTGGGTCGCAAGTTGTTCCAGTGACCTGTCGCCATTTCATCCATCCTGAGTTGATCCGATTGGCCACGTCTCGGTCTATCTCACCATTTCCTTGGATAAGCGAGCCAAGGTACCGAAAATCAGAACAGGTTGGTATGGGCGTTCCAGCGAGAGCTATGGGCACAGAACTAGAGAGACCGCCAAAATCGCAGAACAAGTACTCTGTTTTAGTTCTGCTCAATTTTAGGCCAACACTCTCCAGTCTTTGCCACCACACCTCCAATCTGCTCTGGACCTCTAGGGCACTCTCGGCAACCAGCACAATATCATCGGCAAACAGCATACACCAGGGAGCCTCTTCCTGAATGTCAGAGCGTCCATTATTATCAGGAAGAGGTAAGGGCTGAGAGCCGACCCTTGGTGAAAACCGACAGCCACATTGAACTTGTAAGTGGTGCCCGCTGCAGGCCGGACTTATGTACTGCAGCGACTATACATTGATCGGATCAACTACACATACTTCCCATGCACACCTTTCTCCTTAAGGGCCCACCACAGAACCTCACGAGGTACCCGGTCGTATGCCTTTTCGAGGTCAACGAATACTATGTGCAAGTTTTTATGTGCACCTCTGTAATTTTCGCACAACTGGCGTATAGCATATATGGCATCCGTTGTACTACGACCGGGCATAAAACCGAATTGGTTCTGTGAAATTTCACTCCCTTCTCTCAGCCGCCGTTCAATAACTTTCTCCCATACTTTCATGCTATGCGACATTAGCTTTATTCCTCTATAATTGTTGCACTCAAGCACATCACCTTTGTTTTTAAAGATGGGCACCAAAGAACTGTTGCACCATTCATCAGGTATGGTTTCTTCCTGCAACAATTTATTGAAGAACAAAGCCAACCACACCCATCCATCTACTCTTAATAACTTCCACACCTCAACTGGTATTCCATCTGGGCCAATGGCTTTACCATTTTTCATTCCATTCACTGCTACTCTGACTTCCTCCATAATAACTATTCTCACTAACCCCACATTCACTGGTTTATTCTCTAAAACCCCACTCCAATTATTTTCCTCATTCATAAGTCTTTCAAAATATTCCTTCCACCTCTCTTTGATTTTGTCATTATCCGATAGAACTATTCCACTTTCATCTCTTACACATCTTACCTGGCAAACATACCTCGCCTTGCTTTCCCTCATTCTAGAGAGTCGGTACAGCTCTTTTTGGCCTGCAGGACTGTCTAATGTATCATATAGTTTGTCCTGGGCTTTTGCTTTTGCTATTGCTACGGCTTTCTTTGCTTTTATCAAGAAAATACTTGAATGAGAAAAATAAATTAATAAAACGAAATTTGTTTATTGACAGAAATGTTGTACAGTGAAGTTAACAAAAAGAAATCTATACTTACAAATATTATAAAGAGGTAAAATTAGTAAGTAGTAGTATGTAGGGGGTAATCTTTGGAACCGCTGGTCGGATTGCCAAAATTGTTTCACTGATAGATAGCTACAATGTTCCTGAGTGCTATAGGCTATAAAATATCACGCTACGATTAAATGGAGCCGAGCAGCGGGTGAAACCGCGTAAGAGTAGCTAGTCTGAAGATACTTCTGTCGGGATAGACCTCGTTGTGCCTCGTGTATGGTTGCGCTAATTAAGTGTAACTACATATTTTACACAGTAAAATAAGTAATTATACAAAAGCAGAAAAGGAAAAATCATGAGACATGTGTATGTGTGTGTGTGTGTGTGTGTGTGTGTGTGTGTGTGTGTGTGTGTGTATGTGTGTGTGTGTGTGTGTGTGTGTGTGTGTGTGTTTGTGTGTCTCTGTGCGTAATAAGCATATGAATAAAACATTGTTTTCTGTATTTCAGATCCAAGAATGCGCGGATGGATCGGACGAGGATAAACAATTGTGTTCTAATAATGATACAGAGCCAGACATCAATAACAGATTTAATGTCGACAAACCGTAAGTAACAAAATAAAAAAAAATCCAAGAATCCCACTACGAATTACTTCTATATTATACCACTTTAAGTGTGGGAGAGCCATGCTTCAGCACGAATGGGTCGGCTCGACCGGACTGATACCACGGCCTCACAGAAAACCGCCGTCAAACAACCACAGCGTTGTCTCGCCGTGCGAGTTACGTTAGGGGAGCCCCAATCCCTTTTTCTTTATTTAATAGGTCGGCAAACGAGCATACGTACCGATTACCTGATGGTAAGCAATCAGCCCCGCTCAAGGAGTTTCAAGTGCGCTGCTGGCCTATTAGGGATTAGGGATTTGGAAATTTTGGGTTTAGGGCGGGATTGGGTGAGGGAAAGGATTGGGCCTCCGGTTACCACACTCACACGGCGAAACACAACGCTGTGGTTGTTTCAATTCGGTTTTCTGTGAGTCCATGGTATCACTCCGGTCGAGCCGACCCCTTTGTGCCGAAGCATAGCTCTCCCACACATTCTTAAAAATCTTAAAAAAGCGTTCATACGGTCGATTTGCTTATTATTTTATTATCATCATCATCAGGTGCATACTGCCTCCGTACCCCAATCATGGCTCCTATGAGGTGGCTGACGAGAAAAATGCAAGTCCTAACGACGTGTTCTCGTCTGTCCATCTGACTGTAACTTGTGACGAAGGTTACGCCGTGGCTGGAGACCCGAAGATCTACTGCAACAATGGAAACTGGTCGCATCGAAATATAGGGTCTATATGCGTTAGTTAGTAATCTGGACTTCTTTATTTATTCACAAACAGGCACTTATGTATGTTGAGCGTTCCGCGCGCGCATCAAAGAGCCAATAGACCACAGGTTTGGCCCAATAGGGCTGATGTTCAGTTGGAGTTGCGGGGTAAGCGCAATGAGGCACCGCGACCTCGGCCCAGAGCAGGAGAAGGAACAGGGGGTGTTTAGTCAGTAAAAGTCTGATACTCTCTCCCGCCCGGCCCTGGGTAGGAGAAGCCATTTGATGATTTTCCCCTCACAAAAAAAACCTATGTATGTTTTTAATAAATTTTATTTTTTTGGTCTCATACGTTGGCAAACGAGCAGGTGGATTACCTGGTGGTAAGCTATCGGCGCCGCCCATCGACACTCGCAATACCAAAGGAGTAACAAGTACTACAAGTGCGTTGCCGTCCTCATGTGGGTTGTCAGAGATTTCCGGATAGGGGATTTCAGGGTAGCGGATGGAGATGGTAGGAGAACTTTTTTCATTTAGGAAAATATCCGGAAAATTCCTCGAAGTATAAACTACAACTACAATACCGCCAACGTATCTTGGTGAGTCTGAAGTTAGCCGATTAGCTGCGCAGTACACAATTTTGTTCCTAAAAGATCCATTTCACAGACAAACGGCCAACTTCAGATTCGCCAAGATACGGTCTAAGAAGTCCATTATTACTAAGACTTTTCCAAAAAAGAAAAGTAATAAACATAGGTATTCAAGGACCCGATTCTGCTGCTTAAATAAAAGAACCTATCCATAAGACCATTGTTTGTTGATTAGCGATTTCAATGTTATAAGTCCATCCAGGTTTCCTCCCGATGTTTTCCCCTTCATCGTTAGTCAGTGGCGATAGGAGTGCATATTTATATATAGGAGTATATTATATATAGTGCATATTCATATGTAGGATTTTATATTTATATATAGGATAGGAGTGCATAAGGAGGCATATTTATCGTAACAGATATTTAAAAATAACAAGTAACAATTGTTCCTACCAACTTATTTTATCTGTTATATTTTTAATAACAGGAAAATGGCAGCAGACAGGGAAGCTGGCACTTTAAACTCTGGGTCACCGCGAAACTTGCCCCCATCTCCAGTCAAATCCTAAAATCTCTAAACTGCAAAAGGAATGAAACGCAATAATAATTGCCCATCTGTGACATAAAGAAGGATAATCTACAAAGAACATAAAAAATGCCATCTGTATATGGGGGATGGAGGATTCAGCTAATAGATTTTTCTTCCACAGAACATTGCACGTTGACACCAGAGCCTTCAGTGACTTATTACTGCTTGGAAAGCAATAACGTTGAGGGTCGGCGCCTTTGCAGAAACCAGGAGCCCGAAGGAACCCAGGTTCAACCAGAATGCAAGCCCAATTACTACATAAGAGATGTCAGCTCCACGAAAATGATTTGCATCGATGGTATTTGGTCCCCGAAGGTTACATGCGTTCCAGGTTTGTGTAAACGCCAAATTTTGTATTTATGGATCAATTTAAGTTACTCTTAAGCGAAAATATACTGTCTGTCACGTAAGTACGAATGTCAGGATTTTAGTGAAAGGACATCATCCATTTTGGTCCAAATGACAAAGCCATTAAAAAAGTGCTTCATTCTGAAAAAACTCGTTCGGCTTAGCAGTTTTTTATATGACACCAAAGCTGTAGCACCAATATACTTGGCGGTATTCATGTTAAAAAATAGTGATTTTTCGTACATTTTGCAATCAAATGAATTATCAAAAACAATGAGATGACTTCATTTGTTACAGTAAAGAAATTCTAAACTCCAAAGGAGTTACAAGTGCGATGCCGGCGTTTTGGGGATAAGGGTGTCGGAGATTTTTGTCCCAGTTTCACTTTGATTAGCTAATATTTTATTTCTAGAATGCGGTCGCCTAACTCCAAAGGGCAGCGGTCTGGCTATAGGAGGGCGATATGCCATTCAAGCAGAGATATCTTGGCACGCTGGAGTCTACAAGAAGAAGGAATCGCGGTACGAGCAAATCTGTGGAGGATCTGTGATAAACAACAACTTTATAATAACTGGTAAGTTTTTAAGATTTTTGGGGTTATCGTCGTGGTTTTTTTGTGTGGAGAAATTCATCAAAGGTCTTCTCCCGCCCAGGGTCGAGCGGGAGGGAGTATAAGACTCTTACTGACTAAAAACCCCCTGTTCCTTCTCCTGCTCTGGGCCGAGACCGCGTTACTTTATTGCGTTTGCAACGCAACTGCATACAGAACTTCGGTGCTGTAGGGCCCCGTCTGTGGTGGCGGCTTTTTGAGGCAAGTGCGGAAAATTTTACGCGCCGTACGCTCGAATCTGGTTCTTATCTGGCGGCGAGCTACCCTTGGTCGCCGTCTGCAGACCCGCGCTTACGGCGGCCGAGATCATCGCTTGATCCCCGACGCCTGGAATAGAGTTATCTCACGCGCTCTGCCTCCTTCTTTGCGAGCATCACTGCTTCGCAGAAAGAGGAGACGGCTTCCCAGTTCTTTTCGTCGTTTCGTTCCGCACCATAGCCTTTATTTTTGTCAGAGGAAAATCATCGAATGACTTCTCCCGCCCAGGGCCAGGCCGGAGGGAGTGTCAGACTCTTACTGACTAAAAACCCTCCTGTTCCTTCTCCTGCTCTATGCCGAGGTCGCGGTGCCTCATTGCGCTTACCCCGCAACCCCGGCTGAACATCAGCCCTGTAGGGCCCCGTCTGTGGTGGTCCATTGGCACTTAGAGGCGCGCGCGGGACGCTATGCGCCTTACGCTCGCGGCTGGGTCTGGTGGTGGCCGGAGATCTTGATCTAGATCCGCCCGGAGTGTCGCCTACTGAGGCGGCTGGGGCGTGAGCTGGATAGTTTCCTCACGCGCTTCGCCTCCTTTTTTGTCGAGCATCACTGCTTTGCAGAAAGAGGAGATGGCTTCCCAGTTCTTTTCGTTCCGCACCATAGCCTAGCGTTGCAAGTGTAACCTCAATTATGTACCTCAAAAAAACACGACATTATTTAGACATATTAATTAATTAGACAAATGACATTATTTAGCTGCACATTGCTTCTGGGATGAGCGGCTATATAAGGTGGCGGATCCTAGCTTATTCGCAGTCGCTGTCGCCAAATATTATCGAGATTGGGATCACGAAAATGACAAAGACGCGCAAAAATCGGACGTAAGTTTTATTTTTTACATTATAACTATGAATATTAGTGTTACACTGTTCTCACATAATTGAACCAACTGTTTGTATAAGGAATCTGTATGTGAAACTGATTTAAAAAGAGTAACCATGGAGTTTCTTGCTCGTTCTTCTCCATCGGAATCTATACTTTGGAACGAGCAAATAGCTTCACTAAGAGGACTGACCGACAGACTGACACTATATCTTCAAAATTTTGTTTGACGTTCAAAAGTGCCTGTAAGGGTCTAATTAGAATAAATGATTTTGTACTTTGACTTTGATAACATTGATTAACCCTTATTATTGTATCTAAGCAGTTCTTTGCCAATTGCGGATGGAGCAAACGGATTACCTGATGGTAAGCAATCGGCGTCGCCCATGGACACCGGTAACACCAGAGGATTTACGAGTGCGTTGCCGGCCTTTTGGGATTACGATTATGGAGATTTAGGGATTAAAAAGGGATGGGTTGGCGCTCCGGTAACCTCACTCACACGGTGAAACACAACCCTGGTTGTTTCACGCCGGTCTTCTGTGAGGCCGTGTTATCCGTATACTCCGGTCGAGCCGACCCATTCGTGCCGAAGCTTTGCTCACACACACTTCTAAAAAAAGATGCTCTAAATCAATGATATTATAAGTAAAAAGGTGTAGATAGGTTACAAGCGCTCAGCAAGTGATACATTAAAATGTGGCTAACTAGCCAAACTTTTTCATATTTGTCTCTTTTCCACTCGCGATTATTGAATCATGCCATCCCACTTTAACGTGTGTCATACAATTTATTCATGTGTGCATAACTTAGTGTGGCGTTTTTGAAAATCGAATGTTGTTTATGTAACCTATCTATACCATTTTACTTATAATATCATTGCTCTGAAATTCTGAATGTTTAATTTCAGGTAGAACAGATCCATGTGCCGCCTCTATACGAAGATATGTATGGTAACTTCGATCGGGACATTGCTCTGGTAAAACTAAAAACTCCCATAGAGTACACGGTATATCTGAGGCCTATCTGTCTCGATTTCAGTGAAGATTTCGAAGAGAAACAATTAAAGCCAAATAGTTTAGGAAAAGTAAGTATTTGTGTTTCAACACACAGTCCGCGATGCACAGCGCCCGTCCTACTATTTCTTACACACCATTTAACATTTAAGATTTCATAAATATTCTAAATTTACAATTTTATTGAATCTCCTTATAATATTTTTACTTAGGAGAGATTTTTGTCCAGCTCGTCTCATTCGACGAATTATTATTCGATCAATAATTGTTTTTTTCGGCGAAATGTTTTCGAGGAATTACCATTCGAAGAATTGTCGTTCGGCGAATTTTCCGCAAATCCAGTATAACATGACATTTATTTTAATATTTCGCCAATGAGGCTTTTTGAAAAGTTTTCCGTGAACTCTTTAGACTGGTCTATTACTTTTATACCTGTCAAAAAAAATTGTTTAATGTCATACGGCAAACGAGCAGCCAGATTACCTGATGGTAAGCAATCAGCGCCGCCCATGGACACACGTAGTACCAAAGGAACTACAACTGTTGTTGGCCTCTTGTGGGTTATTAAGGATAGAGGATTTGAGGATTGAGGATGTGGACAGGGAGGAAGAAGTGTGGGAGAGCCAAGCTTCGGCACGAATGGGTCGGCTCGATCGGAGTGATACCACGGCCTCACAGAATACCGGCGCGAAACAACCCACAGTGTTGTATTTCGCCGTGTGAGTGAGGTTACCGGAGTTCCAATCCTTCCCCTCCGATAGTCCCTCCTCAATCCCTAAATCTCCAAATTCCTAATCCCTAAAAGGTCGGCAACGCACTCGTATCTCCTCCGTTGTGGGTATCCATTGGCGGTGCTGATTGCTTACCTGCATCAGTCTGCCCGTTTGCCGACTTATTACATAAAACAAAGAATTGGGCCTTCGGTAAATTTATACGGCGATACACAACGTAAATGTTCTTTCACACCAGTCAGGTTTTCTGAGAGGCCGTGGTATCTCTACTCCGGTTGAGCCAAACCATACATTCCGAAGCATAGCTCACCCATGCATGCAGTATTTATATTTATCCTTCTTTTTAACATCCTTTTTTTACCTGTGTACGGTTATTTTCCGTTTCAGGTAGCTGGTTGGGGCTACACAACTCCGGAGGGGGATTATCCACATGCCTTGAAAGTTGTGGATTTACCGTACGTACCTCCAGTGCAGTGTAGAATGGTGACTCCGGATAACTTCAGAGAATTGCTTACATCGGACAAAATTTGCGCCGGCTTTAGTAACGGTATGAAGTTTTTTTTAATCCACTATTTTTTGGCTTATGAATTGAATGATATATAATGATGAATGATATGAATGAATCAATGAATTTATTTTTGTAAATAGGCCATAAAACGGCACTTTTGCACGTCAAATTATTTGTACAAAACTAGATGCTATTACATCATGCCCGGCCCCCGGTTGCGACAGTCGTTGTAGGATGCAGGCGCAGCAGAGGATCCGCGCCCCGGTGACGCGCGTCTGCGCGCAAACTGTAGACGCGCGCGAGCGCTTCGCTTCCAGATCCCACGGCGGTGATCCGGCAAAGAGGTTCATCGCCTCCCCGGAGATCGTGCGATAGCCGCGGATGAGCAGCGCACGAGCTGCCCCCGCCTCAAGCCGGGCACACACATACAGGGGCCCCGTAGAGGGCCATCGATCGCACGATCCTCATATACGGGACACCCATTTAACAATTTATCTCTTTTCTTCCAGGAACAGCAACACTGTGCAAAGGTGACAGTGGGGGCGTCTTGGCGTTCCCAGAAAAGGTGCGTGGCGTATGGCGCTACTACGTAAGAGGAATTACGTCTTCAGCACCTAATCCTAAAGAAGGCGCCAAATGTAACAGATTAGCGGTAATTACATTTACCAGGGTAACCAGCTATAAAAAGTTCATTCAGAAACATATTTTGAACTAACATTTTACTTGAAAAGAAAATAGTTACTAGTAGCAAAACATAGATGGCGTTGTTCGAAAGCAAGTTGTTTAAACTGTAGTGTGATAGATGGTGGTTATGTAAAGTTTATGTAGCTAGAAAATACATATTTTTTTATAAAGTTTTGTTTTTTATTTTTCCAACAACGTTTAGTTAATAACTGCTGAATATTAGAACTATCGTGAATAAATCTGTTTTTGGGAAAATTACAAGAATTTCAAGAAAACTCACTTCTCTATTTGAATCCAAATGTATTACCTATATTAAAAACTATTTCTGTTAAAAAAATTGTAGGTACTACAGTACTCTGAATACCCATGCACGCTTTCTTAAATATACCTCTTAAATACAAATTCCAGAAGGCTACATGATAGATCCTACCTTTTATCAGAAAGATATTCAATTTTAAGATAAGAAAGGAAGAGTTTTATTAAAATACAATTTAGGTTTTACTACATACAAACACATCACGCACAAGTCACATCTGTCGAAGAACCGACGACCGTTGGGGTAGAAGTGTTTTAGAGTGGAGACCACGTCTAGGCAAACGTAGTGTAGGGCGCCCTCCAGCAGAGGACTGACGATATCCGCAGGGTGGATGGTAGTGGTTGGATGAGAAGAGCTGAACATCGAGCTCAGTGGCGTGCAATTGGGGAGGTCTATGTCCAGCAGTGGACGACAACAGCCTGATGATGATGATGACATACAAACTTAAAAATTATTTACCCCTTTATAATATTAGTATAGAAAATGACAACACTACAATGCCAATAACATGTTTAATTTAATTGTTGTATTTTAATTATATTCTTGAAAAAAACAAAAAAAAAACATAAATACCTTTTTGGCCAAACGCAAAATAAAACAAAACAATAATCATCATTAAATTTATTAAAATCTTTAACACGGTTAAACAATATTAAAATTACACAAAATGTTTAAAATGGCCGCCATTGCAGTTATATGTATATACATAATAATATCTCTCATCTCCTTCTCTGGCTTTTAGGGTACTTAGGTACCTATTATCAAAACATCAGATCATATTATGTGCTTGAGCGAGACAAACCGATATTACCATCTCTTACTGACAAGTGTTTTCTTCGACCGTTTCACAATTTCCATACATTAATATTAGCTTCGTTATTTAAATATAGAATTATTATAATAACAATGGGAGCTGCACATATGAGATAGAAGCATAAGTCTGTCTCTCTCTTTTCATCGACTGCATCGAATTCAAAATATTGTTGTTCTGTGTTGTATAAAGGTCTTAGAAACACTGCACTAAGTTACACGTGAATCGTACAGTTGTTGACTACCAACCATCTATGTGATGGGGATGAAAAAGCTTTCGCGTGGAACGATGGCGAAAAGATGCGGCGGGGTTCAAACCGAACAATTCCTCAGAACATTCCCCGTGATAAATGCGATAGAGAATACATAGCGAGGCTACTGTATACATCCCTACGCAGTGCCAGAGTCCAGCCGGTCCGAGTAAACAGGGCAGTCAACAATTCGGACAGCTCGTCGTAGCACACCAAGCTTCTTCGAGGCTGACTTGGCCTTACCCTCTAGATGACCGCGGAACTGGACTTCGCTCGGTATGTCGACGCCAAGTATCCCAATACCAGCCGAGGCTGTGAGGGGGTGCTCTGAAATTGAGGAGATACGACCAACGGCAGTTTTTTAGCTGTTAACACGCAGACCTATGTCTTTGTAAGGTAAAATTGGACTAAATTAAGCCTACCCCAATCTGAGATTCTCTCTAAAGAAGTCTCGATTTCCGACACAAGCCTGTTTCGACTCTCGGTGACGTTTTCCCGAGAAATGTTAGTACGGCCGGCGTAAAAGGCATCACCCGTGCTGTCATCCGTATAGCAATGAATGCCACTAATTTGCAACATATCATTGATATGGAGGAGGAACAGAGTGGGCGATAGTACGCAGCCTTGAGGCACGCCAGCGTTTACAGGCAAGCAATCAGAGCATTCACCGTCTACCGCGACCTTTATGCTTCTGTCTGCAAGGAAGCTGGATACCCATTACAGTTTCTCGGGAAACCCATAGGAAGGTAGCTTCGTAAGAAGCCCTTTATGCCAAATCCGATCGAAGGCCTTCGCTACGTCCAAACTGACTACCATCGCTTCCCCCTTGGCGAGTCCAAATCGCCTGTGCCCAACGGTGTATCAGATAAACTAGGAGATCACCAGCGGACCGGCCCTTACGAAAACCGTACTGTCGGTCACTAAGGAGCTGATGATCCTCCAAGTACCGAAGGAGCTGGCAGTTAATAGATGACTCCATTATTTTCGAGAAGAGGGAAGTTATGGCTATCGGTCTGTAATTGGACGGATTTGTGCGATCACCTTTTTCAGGGATCGGGTGGACCAGAACTGTCTTCCATAACTTCGGGACTACGCCTAAAGAATACTATAGCAAAATTACTGTGCAAAGTTCAAACGCTAACAGTTGATCGGACGACGCATGGCGGGCGCGAGAAGCTTGTTAATATTAAAGTAAGTAGTAATAAAAATAAAACTAATAAGTGTAGAACTTGTTTGTTATCATGATAGGGTAATTGTGCACCCTATATACCTAATAGAGAAATTTTTTCAACCTAAAATATCATAGACACTCAAGTAATCTGTAAGAAATGTCTTGTCTTACTCTCGCTCCAGATCTTCTGGTCCTACAGATTCAAAATCGCGGATTTACTGGACATTATTATGTACGTGAATGGGAGGTGCACAAGTGAGATAGAAGCATCAGTCTGTCTCACTCTTTTCATCGACTGCATCGATCTCAAAGTATTATTGTTCTGCGTTGTATAAAGGTTAAGGTCTTAGAAGCACTGCATTATACCATTGAAGTATTTTAACAAACTATAAAGTAATAATACAATAGAATATTAGTCTTTTGTGCTTCTGAGGATAGGGAGGCCTTAGCCTTTCTCCCACTCCGTAACAGATACTCTCGTTGACAAAGAATGCTGGATCGGTAGGCTGAGGTACCAGTGATCATACGCTAACATCCAATCTGGAAGATTTTTTTTTTTTTTTATGTATTAGGTCGGCAAACGAGCAGACGGATTACCTGATGGTAAGCAATCAGCGCCGCCCATGGACACTCGCAACGGAGGAGTTACGAGTGCGTTGCCGACCTTTTAGGGATTAGGGATTTGGAGATTTAGGGATTGAGGAGGGATTGGGGGAGGGGAACACAACGCTGTGGTTGTTTCACGCCGGTTTTCTGTGAGGCCGTGGTATCACTCCGGTCGAGCCGACCCATTCGTGCCGAAGCATGGCTCTCCCACACTTACAGATGCATTCACAATTACAATTTAATTAAAACTACATTGTTCTAGTTCAGTAATACCTATTGATAAGAAACTTTTGTCAGCTGTTGGTACGTTTGTATTAGTTGATAGGGGAATAAAGGATCTATAGGAGGGATGAAGACTTGCCCTTCAGAAGCTGTCCAAGAGAAACGACCTCTAGGATGCGGTGGTATAATACGCAGAGACTTAGAGCAAGAATGTTAAGTGTAGTTTGTGTGACGTCCAGAAATAGATTCTCTAATGCTAGCACCGTCAGTACCCTGCTTTGGTAAAATGTAAGAAACTGGGCCATAGTTTAAGTTCTCGGGTAACATCAATCACAAAATCAATCAATTCAACTGATCGCGTCGACATTTCATCTTATATTTTACCTAGAAATATTTTCCAAGTATTAGTGATTGCTACAAGAAATAACAACGGGAGTTGTGCGTGTGAGAGGGAAGACTGATCTCGACTCTTTCTTGCATAAACGTAAATTGTAGTGTGACTTAAGCCAATACCAGGCTCTGGAGCTTTTGTTTAGGATTGACTGCGTTCAGATGGAGATCATTGATCATGGTAAAGTGTGGAAGAGCCATGCGTCGGCACGAATGGGTCGGCTCGACCGAAGCGATACCACGGCCTCACAGAAAAAAACCACAGCGTTGTGTTTGGCCGTGTAAGTGAGGTTACCGGAGGGCCAATCCTTCCCTTTCCCCAATCCTTTCCCAGTCCCCAAATCTCCAAATGCCTAATCTCTAAAAGGTCCGTTGCAATCCGCCTACTCGTTTGGCCTCCGGTAACACGGCAAAACACAACGCTGTGGTTGTTTCACGTCGGTTTTCTGTGAGGTTGTGGTATCACTCTGGTCGAACCGACGCATTTGTGCCGAAGCATGGCTCTCCCACACTTTAGCCTATAGTCTATTCTTGGATGTAAAAACAAGACATGGTCTTCTCTACTAAAGGTACTGAGCGAGATCGGTCAACAAATCGCCCGATGCGCCAGCGCGCCGTGATTGGTCCGAGGCATCTTTTGACACACACGAGCTCGTTGGCAACAGTTGCCCGCGGAACGTCAACTAGGATTTGCGAGTGCTATTTTAACTATTTCATGTAATTCGTACCTGTGACGCGTTGCTAAATAAATACTTCGAACAATTAATTAATCATTGTCTTTCAGTACGAACGGCGGTGTAAAAAAACTTTTACGAAACCCGTCGAGATCCTCGTCTTGTGTTAGAACCTCTCCATGGATTTACAGCAGTATTTGTGCTATGAGACAATCGTTACAATTGATGCTGTGCTTGTGAGAGGGAAGCCGTAGCCTTTATCCCTCTCTGCATCATCTGCAGTCTTTATCCTGGCAGCTGGAGGAGGTTCAGAGGGAGAAACTGGTAATGCTGGTACCAGAGAATAGTGTTTTTGAAGCAACTGACGATGGATCAGTGAAAACTTTACTTTCAATGAATCTACTACCACTGTTTTGTATTTTCCTTCTTTTTGGCTTTAGTAGCAGTATTTGTTTCAATACAAATATATATAGTGTTGTTCATACAGCTCTCTCTTAAACAAAAAAAAATAATTTACCTACCTATTTAAAAACACGAATACGAATGATGAATTCAAAAAAGGAATTGTGCAAGTGAGAGGGAAGTCGTAACCTATCCCCCTCTCACTCTAACTTCTAACGTAACGCCAAACCTAACATTCACTTCCATACGTATGTATTAGTACTAATGTATATATACTTGTCTACAATATATATGGTGACTAGTAATTAGTGACCAATATTTAAACGCGTGATTGTACTCATGATAACAAACAACTTTCCCAAAGAAACTTTCTATACTCATAAACTTTTTTTATGGAATAGGAGGCAAACGAGCAGACGGATCACCTGATGGTAAGCGATCGGCGCTGCCCATGGACAACCGCAGCACTAGAGGAGTCACAGGTGCGTTGCCGGCCTTTTAAGAAGGAGTACGCTCGTTTCTTGAAGGTTTGAAGGTCGTATCGGTTCGGGAAGACCGCTGCCGGAAGATCATTCCAAAGTATGTGATGGGGATGAAAAAGTTTTCGCGTGGAACGATGGCGAAAAGATGCGGTGGGGATCAAACCGAACAATTCCTCAGAACACTCACACGCTACATCCCTACGCAGTGCCAAAGAGTCCAACCGGTCCAAGACAACAGGGCAGTCAACAATTCGGACAGCTCGTCCTTGAATGCGGTCCAGAGGAAGAAACTGGTACTGGGGTGCCCCCGCCCAAAGATGAGAACAGTATTACATATGGGGCCGCACTTGGGCCTTGTAAAGTAGCAGGCGATGCCTCGGGGTGAAATACTGCCTCGATCAATTGAGCACACCAA